CCCCAAAACCCCAAAACCCCAAAACCCCAAAACCCCTATAAAATAATTCCTGGCTGACAATATAATAAATAATAACAGTATTAAAATGGAAACAATATGCAACCCCACGGTTTATCAATCTTCATATGAAGAAGGCAGACCAAGTTTGAAATCATTTGCCCTAGCCAAGCGCAAGCAGAAAGTCTGCAAGCGTTTTAGAGCTAAGCAAATCTGTTGAGGAGCAGAAGAAGCTATGGATAATGGCATCTCAAATTCCTTGTTAAGCACTGTTCTTCCAAACTCTGTAAGTCAAAAATATCAATAATTTCTTTAAAACTTAGGTTTTTATGAAATCCGAAGAAATTCGTCCACATTATAGATAGAAAGAAATCTATTAGGTATAAATTGACGAACGTAATTCGTTACCTTGCTGAAAAATTATCCAATAAGAACATTTCTTTATGACAAACTGCTGTAACGCAACGATACTTCATTTCCTCAATTATTAGTAATATCCTTTTGTTACTTAATTTAAACAGATTTTGGAGATTTTAATAACTCCAATAGCCAGAAGATAAATAAATACCCTTTACACACATCCTTAAGAGTATGCCTTCCTTGACTAAGACTGGATGATTGCATTACAAGTTAATAACTTCAAGAGCTCCTCCCTCACTTTATCTATAAGATATCTACTCTTTACGTTACGCTTGCTAATTCTGGCAGAAATGATCAAGTAAAAGCCGGATTAAAAATACAAATTTAAATAGTGAGATATTGAATTTGGCAACAGGCTTAGATTCAGTGGCTGGATCTCCTAACTGGTATGACCAATAGAAGAGTCTTTCTTGTTTATGGTCAAAATGCTTCAAACAATTAAGTCTCCAATATTTTCACCTCCTTTCATAAAATTTTCAGAATTACGAAATCTAGATTTTTAGCAAAACAGATTATTAAGCATGATAGTTGCTAAACTAAAAATATAAGAATGCTTCTTTTTTTATCAGTATAGATTCAATTTGCTTCATTAGAAGGATTATTAACTATTGTCTATAATCCCCAGTTGCCAAATAATAATCATTTTAGCAGGATTTTTTTAACAAAAATTCTAAAGTCTTGCCAAAAACAGAAGCATTCGCATTCCTGTTAATAAAATCTAGACCGTGTCAAAACCTTAAAATTTTATTGCTAATTTAGCAATTTTTGTGGGAGATTTTTATTGATTAGCCAAGAAATTTTGTGAAAACTATTCTGACCAAAAATCTCCAATTTCTTACAGTTTTTCCTTCCCGGACATACATTCAGTTATGATATTTTCCAACCAGGCACACTTTTAGGTGAATTCTCAGGGGAAATTTTACTCTTTTGTAATTTCAAAATTTGTTTCAATTCAATTAATTTTGCAAAGTCACTCCTGTTTAGTTGTATGGTTCCTCACTAATTAAGCGGATGGTCAAGCTTAGCTCGATCTCACATTTATTTCATTAATGCACATTAGAACTCTAACAATTTTTGAGAGTTGTCACTTTCTTCTTGGAATCCCACATTTAGGGAAATTTTCTACAAACGTCTTAATTTGTGAATCCGCTATTTGGGTAGAAAATGACAATTTTTCTAGATCAAAGAAAAAGTTGATTTACCAAAGCACAGGCTGATATCAGGCTCAGCAATTTCTCAAGATGGGAGATACTACATTGTAGGAGGAAAGGAACATCTCTCCGTCTTTGACAGTATCTCAGGGGAGTATAAACTAAAAAAGACTGCTAAACTAAAGAATATTGCTCACCATTTGACTTCTCTCGACTACAACGATTACTCTCAGAAGATACTTGTAACCACGTTGAATGAAAAAGTTCAAGTTCACAACCTTAATCTTGAAGAAGAGGATGTATCCATAATGAAATTGAGAGACAACCCTGCTGGACACTTCCTTCTCGAGTATGATGAAAACAGGTGAGCTGTGTTTGACACAAAATTCTCTGAAAAAGACGGATCCAAATGAATTGTTCTCCTCAACAATGGATTTTCTATCTGAGATCTTGAAGAGAATAAGTAAGTTAAGAAATCTAGCTAATCTGATCTTTTCTGATATAGAATTATTGCCAATGTAGAAAATAGCCACTGGGAAGAAGTCAACTCACTTATGGTAAAGCCATCAAGTCTTGCAGAGAATATAATCATCACAGGTGGTGATGATTCATTGGTTAATCTCTATGATAAGAGGTTAATTGGTTCAAAAGAAGGAAATAAAGCTTGCGGAAAATTCTTTGGTCACAATGCCGGAATCACTAGTGTGGATATTACTGATAGTGGAAATTATATCGCCTCGAATGGCAAAGACCAATGCATCAAACTTTGGGACATAAGGAAAGCCCTTTCTCCAGATGTCTATACGAAGACAAAGAGAAGATATATTGACTTTGACTACAGAAATACTAGCTTTAATAAGTCTAAGAGGTTTATTCATGAGGCTGATAACTCTGTCTATACATTTACAGGTCATACGACTCATTACACTCTTATTAAATGAAGTTTTTCTCCTCCTAGTTGGACGAATGAGAGGTTTCTTGCTTCTGGTTCTTTCTGTGGATGTACCCTCATTTACGATACATACACAGGTGAAAAACTAGGAGACCTGGCTCCTTCTTCTAAGTCAATTGCAAAGATTCCAACTTGGCATCCCAGAGAGCGAAAATTGATATCATCTTCAGAAAATAAATTCTTCATCTACGAGCATGACCCAGAGAAGACAACTTTGAAGAGTTGAGTTGGAAAGGTGGATCTGCACTCAAAGATCTTGAAGAAGTTCAAAAAGCTCCAGAAAGAAGAGGAGAAAGACGCTGATTCCGAACCCTTCAAACACTAATTTCTTTTCAAATACTATATCCGATATATTCTGTCAAAAGTTGGAGATTTATCAAATAATCCCACTCAAGTCTAATAATGAGTTTAGAGGATCTGGAGATGTGGGCTAACAATGCACACAGGCCCATAATACATAAGGTTGGGTAGATTAGAGCGATCACCAGCTTTCCTTCTTATTTCCTTGGCTTTTGAGTAAGGCTTGCCATATTTAGCATCAGATCCTCTATTTGTACCTACAGTTTATAGTGGAAAGGCTATTAAAGCTTGAAGAAAAATTAGGATAGCTTTAGATTTAAAGTAAAATACATCTCTATTATCTATTCTAAATTTTAATTCTCTTGTTTCTCTATGACTCTACATGAAAGAGTATCGCCACCACAACTAGTTCAAATATTAAAGCAACGTCATTCTATTTTCAACTGAATGCATGTGTGATGGGGTTTTGGGGTTTTGGGGTTTTGGGGTTTTGGGGTTTTGGGGTTTTGGGG